ATCAGTACCAGTCTCACCGTCAGCTGGGGCATGGGGAAAGTGGAGAGTCATCCCAGGGAGTCCTCCAGACGGCTGCTCGCCTGGGAGGCGCTGGAGCAGGTGCTGCTGGACCTCCTGCATGCGCCGTGAACGGCGCTTCTCCCGCTCGATGTGTGCGAGAGTCACCCCCTGCTGGGTCTGGAGTATGTCCAGGCGCTCATCATAAGTAGCCATCCTGCTCTGGTACGCGGCCTGGTGTTCCGCGTACTGCTGCTGGAACTGCATCTGCTGGTCGAGGATCTGCTGGTTCTGGATCCGCAGCTGCTCGAACTGGTAGAGAAGTAATCCTGGCCCGGGAAAGCGGAGCTGCCACCGCCGTACTCGAAGGTGGTGGGCGGGGGGCAGCAGCAGCATCCACCCCTCGGGCTCCACATCATCAGCAGCCTCCTCCTCCTGGCCCTCTGGCTGGTCCTGGCTCCGCGGGGATCTGAGGTTCTGGAAACCCCTCGACCCATAGAACGCCGCGGTTCTCTCGCAGCAGGTGCATGTGACCGATCGTCTTCCTGCCAAAGACGAGGTGTCCCCTGCTGTGTGCACCCCTGCAGCGAAAGCCCGAAGTAGGTGGCAATGCGGGTGATGAGAGGGGCGCAGTGGAGGCTCTTCAGTTCCGTGGCAGTCTTCTCAAAGGTCCTGGCCACCACCGATCCCAAGTGGAGAGGATGGTCGTACTGGTGCATCGAAGCGATGAGGTACATGGCCCTCTTGGTGATGGCGCTGGCACTATCGGACGCTGGGGTGTAGGACTTCGCCAGCAGGTGGTGGAGAAGGCGGTTGTCGAGCAGCAGGGTAGTGGCCTTCGTCCTCCCAGCCGAGAAGGGTTTCCTCTGGCCTGGCTTAGCCAGGCGGTGTACAGCCTCATGAAGTCCACCTCCGGCGGGTCGTTGACCTCGGTGATGTAGTCCGCACGTCATCCAGGTCGAGGTCGAGAGCCTCGGCCAGCTCATGGTAGCTCATCGACCGGGGGGCACCGCCTAGCCTGAATCTGACGGCTGTACCGTCTTTCCAATCGTCGTCTGTGTGTGCCTGAAGGTCGTGTAGAACTCCAGGACGGGCTCGTAGTAGACCTTCTCGCAGATGGTGAGAGACGGCGCCATGTGCGGTTGGGGGCGCGGAGAGTTGCTCGTAGCAGTTCAATTTCCGAAACTCCCGTTTGGACCAGCAATGGTGCTGCCCAAACGGGCATGCCAGGACCTCCTTGAAGCGATCCTCGTCGGGGCCCCTCCTCAGATCCCGGATGAACGGGTGCTTGAGGTCAGGTTTTGACATTGTCCTGCAAAAACAACCCAAAGTGGAACCAAAAGAGCCAAAGAAAAGGTCAAGCACACCCCCACACTTAAGAACAGAAAACAGCCTAACCATGGTTTCATCCATAGTTCGGGGGTCAAAAACTCGATAAATCAAGCATAATCTGAGTGGGGGTGCACATTCACGAGAAAATAGGCAACTTAAGGTTCACATCCATAGCAAATACACCCTCAAACTACATCATTAAGGGCCCCAACCGGTGGCCACAACATGGCATGAAAAACAGGCATTTCATCGAACACCTTGTGTGCACTATGAAGTGAAACATGAAATTGGCAAAATTCTTGCACACAAGGGCTCAAACAATCAAGGGGGACATTTCCCAACACAATTCAAACACATTCCATGCATTCCCCTCAATCAATTGCGCAAAAATCACAAGATTCAATAAGGCTCTCTAAACATACACCTACACACCCAATTCTCCACAATTAACATAGTTAAGGGCAAAATCAAACCTGGAGACTCAAGTAGAGGTGTAGGGGATGATGAGGGAAGGCGATGGAAGCGACGAAACGCCGAAAAAGTGGCCGGAAGTGCTCGTCGGAGCCTCGCCGGAAATCGCCTCCGGCGACAAAAACGTCGTCCAAATTCGCTCAAAATGGAGGGATAGGCCGCTTTGGGTGTAGAAAGGGTGGGTTTGTTGTTGATTTGGTGAAAAATGACACAAAGTGGCCGAAAAAATCGAAAAGGGGTTTTTGTCGCGGTTTTCCGGGGGGACAGAGGATTCCGGCGAGGAATTGAAATTCTGACCTGCTCGGCCGTGCTGGCCGAATAAAGGCCGTGCTGGCCGCACGGGCAGGCCCACGGCCGTGCAAGGCATTTTGCCCGTGTTGGTCGACACGGCCTGGCCGAGCAATGCCACACGGCCGTGCGATTTGCACTTTTGGCCGTGTGGATTTTGCCGAGAGCTCGCACGGCCAGGGGAAAAATTCCACACGGCCGTGCGAGGAAATGATTTGCCCGTGTCGGCCACACGGCCAGGCCAGGCCGAGCCACACGGCCGTGCAATTTGCACTTTTGGCCGTGTGATTTTCGCCGAGAGCTTGCACGGCCAGGGGAAAAATTCCACACGGCCGTGCAAGTTTAGGACCTGGCCGTGCGAAGTGCTGGAGCCCCGAATTCAACCTGTTTTCACTCAAAAACGACACTTGACTCTGGATCAACATCTCAAGACTCAAAAACACAAAAAATCAAAGGAAAAAGAGTAAGAAAATGCAAACCTCGGTGGGGTTGCCTCCCCACAAGCGCTTCTTTACCGTCTTTTAGCTGGACGCCAGTAGAGGAACTAAGGGTCCTCGAGCTTGATCAGCAGCTCTGCGCGCTCGACAGCACCTCCCAAGTACAACTTTAGGAGGTGGCCATTCACCTTGAATGGCTCGGTTTGAGCATTGCTGATCTCCACCGCACCATGCGGGAAAACTTGGGTCACTGTGAAGGGACCCGACCACCTCGAACGGAGCTTGCCCGGAAAGAGTTTCAGGCGTGCATTGAAGAGCAGAACACGATCACCTACCTGAAACTCCTTCGGGCCCCTCAACCTAGCGTCGTGGAGACGCTTGGTGCGCTCTTTGTAGAGCAGGGTGTTCTCGTAGGCGTGGTAACGCCACTCCTCCAACTCCAGCAGCTGCAACTTACGTTCTGTACCTGCAACACTCAAATCCATGTTTAGCAGCTTAATGGCCCAGAAGGCCTTGTGCTCTAGCTCTACCGGCAAATGGCACGCCTTCCCATAGACAAGCCTATAGGGAGAAGTGCCAATCGGATTTTATAGGCAGTCCTATACGCCCAGAGAGCATCATCGAGCTTGATGGACCAATCCTTGCGGGACTGATCCACCGTCTTTTCAATTATCGTTTTAACTCCCGGTTCGTCAGCTCGGCCTGCCCATTTGACTGGGGATGGTAGGCCACCGACACCTGATGCTTAACGCCATAGCGAGAGAGGAGTTTAGTGAATTGCCCCTGAAAATGGGTTCCTCTATCACTAATAATGGCGCGAGGTGTCCCGAACCGGGAGAACAGCTGCTTCAGAAATGAGCAGACCCGTCTTGCATCATTGGTGGGCATGGCTTGAGCTTCTGCCCACCTCGAGACGTAGTCCACTGCAACCAAATGTACAGATTGCCAAAAGATGGAGGGAATGGGCCCATGAAATCGATACCCCAAACATCAAAAATTTCACAAATAACAGAGATATGTTGGGGCATCTCATCCCGGGCAGAAATGTTACCTGACCTTTGGCAGCGGTCGCACTGTCGTGCGAAGGTGTCTGCATCCTTGAAGAGCGAGGGCCAATAGAAGCCCGACTGTAGCACCTTCCTCCATGATGACCGCCAGTAGGTCCCTCGTGACATTGAGACAGGATGTCTCCCATCTCATGCTCCATGACACAGCGCCGGATCACGCCATCTGCTCCGATTCTGAAGAGGTAAGGATCCTCCCAGAAGTAGTGCTTCAGATCGGAGAAGAACTTGCGCTTCGCATGAGTAGCCATCCCCTTGGGTAACTGCTTGCCCACCAGATAATTGGCAAAGTCAGAATACCAAGGGGCCACGCTGTCCACCAGGGTCATCGCCAGCAATCGCTCACCCGGGAAGGAGTCGTCGATCTCTTCCTCGAAGTTGTCCACCGGAGGGGCTTCCAACCGTGAAAGATGATCTGCAGCAACATTCTCGGCTCCCTTCTTGTCCCGGATCTCGATATCAAACTCCTGCAGCAGCAGGATCCAGCGGATGAGCCTAGGCTTTGCATCAGCCTTGCTCATCAGTAGCGAATCGCCGAGTGGTCAGTGTAGACCACCACATGGAGAGCACCAGATAGGGTCGGAACTTGTCAAATGCATACACCACAGCGAGGAGCTCCTTCTCTGTGGTGGTGTAGTTCTCCTGTGCATCGTTCAAGGTCTTCGACGCGTAGTAGATGGGCTGGAAGTGTTTCTCGCGTCTCTGACCCAGAACTGCTCCGACTGCATAGTCACTCGCATCGCACATCAGCTCAAAAGGAAGAGACCAGTCAGGAGTCACCATGATAGGGGCATGGGTAAGCTTCTCCTTCAGAGTCTCAAATGCAGCTGTGCACTCGGGTGAACTGGAATGGCGCATCCTTCTCCAGCAGCTTGGTCAACGGCAGGGCAATCTTCGAGAAATCTTTGATGAAGCGCCGGTAAAAGCCTGCATGACCCAGAAAGCTGCGAATCCCCTTCACAGAAACGGAGGAGGTAGCTGACTGATCGTCTCAATCTTCGCGCGATCTACCTCAATCCCCTGCTTGGAGATCTTGTGCCCGAGCACATACCCTCACGAACCATGAAATGGCACTTCTCCCAGCTGAGTGCCAGATTAGTCTCCTCGCACCTCTTCAGAACGAGTTCCAGGTTATGGAGACAGTGAGTGAAGGAGTCTCCATATACCGAGAAATCATCCATGAAGACTTCCATGATCTCTCCAACCAGTCGGTCGAAGAGCCAGCATGCATCTCTGGAAGGTCGCCGGTGCGTTACACAGCCCAAATGGAATCCTCCGGTCAACAAGTACATCCTCGAATTGTTCAAAGCTTCAGTCCAGGGTCTTCTTTTGTGGTCGTAATATGACTAGAGAATGCGTTGTGCTATTCTTTTCTTTGAGATTGCCTTGAATGCATGATGTTGAAGGGTTTCAATATCACCCGCTCCGAGCTAAGGTAGTGCGTGGCTCTGTTTCTTGGTAGAACATCGAGTAAAATTTGTCTGGCAGAACTTGCTAATGTTATCTTGTGAATGACTAAGATAGTGAAGTAATGCGCTTCGTCCTGATGTGAGCTTCACCAAGTATTTTTTTAGTGGTTGTGTGTTGGTGGCTTTGGAATTTCGTATTTCATGGGTGCCATCCTTCTCTGAGTTGTTTGATTTTCGTTTTGGTTCTTGCTTCTGCCTCTTATCTTTTCCAATATGCTGCATGATTTTCATAACAAAAGAAAAATGCTGCTCGCTTTTTTGATGAAAATGTTTGTCCTTTTTGTATGTGTAGCCGGGATGCTCAAGTGAGCTTCCTGGAGTTGAAGCTTTGGATGCCCAACTTATTCATATAAAGGTATGTGCTTTCATTCTGTCTTCTCCTGTAAATTGATTGTGATTGCTTTCCAAAATCCTTTATACTCTCCCCTATCTGTGACGCGGTCTTTCGCCCTTGAACTAATATTTTTGTAACTGAAAGCGCATCTGTTTCAGAATTGTAGTTGTTTTGAATCCGTGTTTATGATATTAATTTTTTTTCCTTTCTTCTTCAACTTTCTATTAAACACGGTAGTATTTCATATTTTGTGATTTGCTGATGATGGTTAGCTGGGCGTTTAACTTGCTATGGTTAAGGACAGACATTATCGTATATTTGGCATCGATAGCAATTATGTGTTAAATTTTTTATTCGTTTAGTTAGTGTTTGCCTTAATTGTGTTTAACATCTTGATTTAGTTTCCAGATACAAATACAATGCTTTTTATCTGGTGCAATATTACAGCGATGTTGTCTTGATTTACCTTTTCTGCAATCATAGAGCTTCATTTTGTGTCTGATGCTGACTTTACATTGTTGGCTTCGAAGGTTTGGTTTAACTGGATTGGTTTCAGTACTAGGAAGGGAAAATTGACTTTGAAGTTCTTGCGGACTGATAATGAACTTATTGAACATCAGCATGGCACCACTGAAATCTCGAAATCAATGGTTGATGATAGTGCTACTACAACTGAGAAACCTGAGATACACAGCAGTTTTTCTGTGTTAGCCAAGGAAACTTTGAAGGTAGCTATCATACATTTCAGCAATAAATGGCACAGGCGTCTATCATTCATTTGGAGACATATATTGCACGTAGCACAGAGTTTCCAAAAGCTATGGGTAAGTACACCAGAGAACAAACTTCCTTCCCTTTTCATTTGCTCGTTCCTTTCTAGAGGGATTTGGAACCTTGGGTTAAGCTAATGTTGAAAGAATTTGATGAGTCTTTTCCTGCACACTCAAGATTGGCCACTCTTGGGCACACCATGTTGAGCAAATTTGACAATTCTTTTCATGCATAGTCGACATATATTACTCCTTGGGAAATAGCTATCTCCTCTAGTGATAGTTAGAACAGGCCATATCCGTGCCTTACTTTATTCTATCTTGTTTTTTCAATCATATTATTGAGTATGTGTTCCATGATCTGAAATTTTTAGTGCAGAATATTACGGGCATCTCGTTAAACCTTGATGTTCCCAAATGGTTAAGAATACTTCATTTGGACCGGGCTAATACACATGCAGGTAAATTGCTGCTCCACATTTAATTAATGATCCAAGCTTAGATGATTCCTCCCACTCTCGAAATAATTGTTTATATCAGGGTTCAAGAAGGCGCGCCTAGGCGCTAGGCGGTGGAGGATCGCTTGACTTGGCCATAAGCGTTGTAAAAGGCGTTGGTAGCGCTTAGTAGGTAGGAACAACGCTTAGTTTGCGCCTAGTGGAGAGAAGGCGTGCCTGGGCGTTCCTGGACGAGCTTAGGCGGTTAAACCCAAAACTCTTCGTTTTGTCCTAGAAAATCAGAAAATTGCCTCTTTCCCTAGAAAATCAGAAACACGGGAAGAGGATGACCATGCTATGTATGTATTCGTAGATGAGGATGAAGAATCATATTGTGCACCCTCGAGTACTGTTACAGATGCAATGGCGGGTGAACAGAGTGAGCTTCGCACGAGTGCACGAGTGAGAGAGCTCCATGATGAAGAATTAGAGTCTGAAGAGGAGGATGGTGAGGAGATTGCTTTTGAGGATGATGAAGATGAAGTGGTGGCTGGACGGACCTAATTGGATGATGAAGAATGAGCATTTTCGTATGAACTTATTGACTATTGTTTAGTATTTCGACATTTTATGAACTTGTGATTCTAGGAAGTGGTCTCTATTTGCTTGTTATTTGCTATGTTAAGTGTTTACTGTTAAGAACTAGGCATTGCTAATTTTATATGCCCTTGGATTATATGAATTCCAGAAAACAGGAAATATTTGAGAACTTTTTCCATTTATGCTCTGCCTAGGCTACGTCTAATCATGCAAGGCGCAAGTCAGGAGCCGAGCGCCTGTCTTACGCCTAGCGCCTTTTAGAACCTTTGTTTATATTATTTATTTTGAGTTTATAGACGATGTAGTCTCTTTTTCCTCTTCGGTAACAGTCTTAAACCTTTTCATCCTTATAGTTCCTAGCAATAGATTCGTCAAGGTTCCAACATTTTTTTCTTCTGATAGAACCTGTTTTTAGGATTCTATCGGTCAGGTTGTGGAATTGGAATTAAGAGCTTAAAGATCAGAATTAGAGATTTGAGAAGGATAGAGAATCGGCCTAGGCCTTTAGAGGGGTTGAGAACAAGAATTGAGAGGATAGGGAGATTAGGGTTTGGAAAGCTTTTCTTAATATTCTTCTTTACACCTCCTGAATAAAATGCTAAGTACATATACTCGAAAAACCTAATAGACTATCCTAATATGACTCAATGACTATTACCACATCCAATAATATCCTAATTATAGTAATAATAATTATTATGATAAATCCCAAGAATTGAGTTTCTATCATCCCCTCCCCCTTGAGACCAACCTTGCTCTCAAGGTTGACCAACTCGACCCATTTCATAACACCTCTCGCGCAATCCGCGCTTTGTCTCCTCCACTACTTGCGCTTTCTTTTCTTCCAATCATGCTCTAACTCTTCACTTATACTTTTTCACCACTCTTCTCGTGTGGACCCAACTTTTCGAATTTCACTTTCATGGGCCCACTACTCGCTTCTTTCTTGTACAATAATCCATCCTTGAGCATCAATTTGTCAAAAACTTCATACTCTATGTTGATAGGCCATGCAGCTTCACTCTCAATTGGGTTATTTGCAAACCCAATAAACCCATTCCAAGCTCGCATTCTTTAAAATACAGCCTGCATTGGGCTCACTTTCTCCATGCAGTCGTGGCCCAGTTTCCTCAAATGTTGGATCGTCAACTTGCCCAGAATCGGCCTCCTTTAGCTTGTCCAAAAGAAGCCCGAACGATTTTATCTCTGCAAATGGGTCCATTAGCTCCGACCTAACACCATATAGAATAGATCTAATAAGACCACCATTCTTCGGCCCAAATGTTGACACTTTCTTAGCCCAATTATTTCCACGTTTTGGCCCGTATGCAGGCCTTGACCTTTGTACCAAAGCCTCGCTCGAGTCTAAGAATGGCCCACCAAAGAACGCCCACGAACTAGTTCTGGCTCATTGGGCCCAGTGACCCGAACCACAACTCGACCTAATGGGAAACACGACATAGGGCTTGAGGAAGGAGAGTCGTCGACCTCCATCTTCATTCCCTCTGCCGTCAACTCCTTCGGTTCTCCAACCGGCGGCAAGCAGAGCACCAAGCAGCGGGCAGTGGAACCCAACTCCGGTCTCGTCTCGGCCTTCATTTCCCCGGCCGTCGACGAGTCCTCCTCCCGCTCCGCCCTCGCTTTTGCTTCTCCTCCTCCCAGGTTCGCGATGGGAGCTGTAGCTAATCGCTGGTTCTGCACACGCTTCGGAGCTCCGACGCGGCCACCCTCTAGTCCCTCGTCGCAGCGACTGGAGCAGATCACGGAGTCTGCTTGATTTTCGCCATCGTCGTCTTCCTCACCGGCCGTGAGAGCTCCCTCTACTCAGCACTCGATGTCGCTACGGCTTGTAGCCATGTTGCCTCTACGCCTCCTTCCGCCGATGCGGCTTCTGTCTACTGCCCGGGAGTCGCAGTGCCTCCTGATGAAGCTGCCGCCGCTCTGCTTGGCTCAAACACCGCCGCGACCTCGCATCCTCTTTCGAAGACAATATCCACCTCCACCTCCGGCTTCTCTTTCCTCGCCGCAACTGGATCTCTCGAGTTCGATGCTACCCGGCGCAACCCGACGTCTCTGCCATGGAAATGAATTGGGACTCGACTGGGACTGCCTTGCCTGATTGACGATTGACGTCGTGTAGGGGTGGGCAACAGGAAACGGGTATTTGGGTACGGGTACCCAAACCCGTCCCGTTGCCCACCCCTAACGTCGTGACCAGTGGTGACGTGGCGGTCACCTGTTCTTCATCTTCGGGTGTCTTTTCCCTTTTCCTCCGAAATCTCCAGTCCGCAACCTCAATCGGTGTTGTTTCCTTCTCCGAACTCTCCAACCTCTTTCCCTTCTCCTTTAACTCCTCCAACCTATCGTCCTTCGGCACGACGGTTGGAATTGTCGTAAATCTCGCCTCCGCATGAGCTGGAACTACAATATCGACCGCACCAAGTGGAGTTGATGGTTTGCTGCCATTTAGCCTATGTAGTAGTCGTGATTGCATTGTGAATCAAATGTTCCATTTTCCTTGAATATTATTTACTATCTTCTAGAAATTCTTGAATCAAATGTCTTCCATCATTCTTGGAACTTCAACTCTGTAAAAAGCTCAAGCTGGCAATGGGCAAGTGAGTATTATTTACTATCTTCTAGAAATTCTTGCATGTCAAATGAGAAGTTATGGCCCTTTTTCTTTTTGCAGTTCCGCACGCCTCTATCAATGAAGTTTTTCCCTCGCTTTTTCTTGCTCTATTTTCTGGTCTTCCGCATTTACTTCTTCTCCTATGCATATGGTATGGACCTCCCTTCTCATTGTACCGAGTTTCCTTTCTTCAGTTATTTAACCCTAATATGAGTATTTTGCACCACGATACTTTTCAGGTTTTTCGTATTTGGCTTTGTCTACAACGGCCGCATTCATGCAGCACTTGATCCTGTAATTTTAGAATCGCTTTGAGGTAATAGTTGCTCATCTCCTTCAAACCCACTCAATGTATTGATTCGTATGAAACTACACCACAATTAAACCCCAATTAGAGCCCAAGTTTTTAAACTCTAATCGGGTATAGTATAGGACAAGTATCTATATATCGACCCGGGCTGGTCCATCTACCGCTACTTTGGTTGTTGAAATCATTATCTAGCGATAAAACTTTGGTTTAAAGGTTTGCCAATTGAAATGAAAGAAAACAAAAGTAATTTGGTTTGATAACTCTTTTGTGGGAAATCAATTGGGTTTTGCTTCCCCATAATCACTACCATGCTACGTGGGTTGGAACGATTGCCTTGGGCATGTTAATCGTGAACCGCAGAGGAAAGCGTATGTGGTCGGAGACCACAGTTTCGATTGCTAAACCGAGGTGAGGATGAAAGGTCATCACTCGACCCTCTCGGTTTAGACAATCGGTAATCGGCTTACTTCCTCACTCAACTCTAAGGTCGGACGGTTTAACCACGATTAATCGATTTGTTCAATTCTATATTGGGGATTGCCCTAACTCAACCTAGTTTAGATGGCTTTGAAAGAGGAAGGAAAACCAACTCGATTGATTCTCTCTTAAAAAGGAGTATTTTCCTCTCTAAACTAGGCTAAGTTGGCAAATTAGATTTCTAGCACCTAAATGCTAGAGTTCACGGGATGGTTATCACCACTAGCTCGTCCGGAGGTCTTAGAGACAGGTTCAGATGACTGGCGATTGGCTTGGACATGGGGAAAAGACTTTTTGGGTGGTGACAATCATGATGTGAGATAGTACATCTTCAACCTAAACCCGAAGGGTCTATGGTTTCGACTAAAACCCTTCTCTTCAATCAAAGGCCACTAGCATCGGCCAAAACCCTTCTCTCTCCCTGCCAACTATCACCGATCATGGACTACATTGAAGCACTCTTCCTTGGTTAACTCTTGCTAGTTCTATAAGGTTTGATAGCGAAGGAGTTCTAAACAACGTGGGGGTTTCGTTGGCTTGGGTGCCAAGAAACCCCTCATAGAGCATGTACTTTGGTTTTTCGTGGCACTCTCTACTTTATTTACCCCATTTTATTAACTCTTTTTCGTTTCTCTTTTTTTCTTTTTCTTTTTGAGGGGTATTAGAGAGTAAAAACACTTGTCACCTAAACATTTATCGACCAATGCTCTCTTTTTGATGAACTAACTCCAACACTACACTCCATTTTGCACTCCTAGCAAGAATCACACATGAACATCCTATGTATAACCTCTATAGAACCTCAATGGTAAGAGTGATGAAAGAGGTCGACCTTCATCTCCCAGAACGGTGACGTTTTTGTCCCAAAGCCATACAACAGACACGCTGCGTTTAAACTCCACACGACGACGTCTCGGACTTCAAACGTCACTACACAACATCGTCCTTCTAAGTCTTCTCTTCTGAGCAAAAGGAATCGATTCACTCAACCCTAGCCTCCCACCTACAAGGAGCGGCAGGAAAGCTCAAATCAGTTCGTCGGTGATGGAGCACAGACATCACCGACAACCTACCAAGACATGATGAAGATCAGTCGACACAAATCTCGTGCAACGGTCAAGACAGCTCTCTAGGTATAAATAGATCCTTGTCTGTTCAATTAGAACTCGACGGTGATAGCGAGAGAGTAGGAGAATTCTTAGTCTATCTTGAGTCTAGTTGTAAATCTCTTCAGTTGCTTGATTCACAGTGATTATTCTGGGTGAACTAAGCTTGGGAAGAGTGTTGTTGTTTGTGTGTCTTCAAAGTGTCAACTCCGTTGGCATGACACAGAGTGGTTTAGTAGTTTCTTTGTTGTAATTCTCCTTTCGATCAATAAAATTAGTTTGTTCACTGTGTTCCATCCAATTATCTGCTTCTCAAAATTCAACAATTGGTATCAGAGCTGGGTCTTTGAAGGATTAAACTTCGCCAAAGACGATCAAAGACATGGCTGGAGTCATGGCTGCCTCGGCTTCTTATTCAGCAAATACCAATCCACCATGGTTCGACGGCATGGATTACACAGTTTGGAAAAAGAGGATGAGGATCTACTTGCGAGGTGTCGACGGCGGATTGTGGGCAATTGTCAAGAATGGGCCAATCCCTATGGATGATGAGGAAGAAGAAAAATGGGAGGATGATCAGAAGTGGTCTTCTCAACAGGACTCGAGGGCAATGCATATCCTCTTTTCTGCACT